GCATCATTTTTAGGGACGGATGATTGTTATATGATAGAGAGAAAAAGTGCGATTTTTTTTTTTTTTTTTTGATCAAAAAGAGTAACCAGGAAACAGGTCAGATTTGTGAATTAGTTAAAGCAAGTGCTGTTGCCGTTTTGTAAACAAATATGACAAAAAAGCAACGAAAGCATCAAAACCAGGAAAAAGCAACGAACACCAACTCAAAAAAAAGATCAGCTCCAAACAGAACTGTTCCTCGCGTATCTTTTTGCCCATTGGGATCTCTTATTGCACCACTATTATCAGGACCGCTCAGATATTTGAATTGATCCTTTTTTTAACTTAATGTAAGTACTGCCGTAAAAATTAAATGAATAAGTAAACCAAAAGAAATGAAAAACTTGTTTTTCCCTTTCGTTGGTTGATTTTTTCCTCTGTACTTTTTTCTTCTGCTGTTAACAAACGTTTAATAACAATTCGTAATACAACTGTCGCCGTTATCGGTTTCAGTACGTATTACATAAAAAGTTTCTATTTTACAGAGAAATAACATATTTTTTGCGTTTCTTGCCCTTTATCGTTTCGCTGACACTGATAATTTTTTACTTATTTATTTATTTTTGTTTTTATTTGTTTATTTTAAAAATTATTGGTTTTTCACTCTTTTTGCAACACTGATTTAAAACAGCGTTTCTTTTCACAAACGCTGTTGGCAGTTCTCAGTTTTATTTTTAGTAGTTTAAGTGGCAGTGATGAAAAAGGTCATGCTAATTTGAAGCAGTATTATTATTGAATAGCTAATTAGCTATTTAATCAGCTAACAGCAGTTAATAGAATAACTAAAGGAAGCACTAGATTGGTGAAAATTTTCAACTTTTTTTTTGGAGCCTTAACAGTTTTTTTTGGTTTGGTTTATAGATCTGTTTTTCCTCGCTTTATTGCCTGCTTGATTTAGTTAAACGAAGACCAAAGGAAAGAACGCTCACCCCCCATTAACAAGGTTAATCGTTGGTTTCGAAAAAAGTGTTTTATTTTTGAGAAAAAACTGTTGCAACTTATACGACAAGAATATGTTGTCGCCTTTTTCTTTTTTATTTTTATTTGGGCTAAAATGAGTTTAAAAAAGAAAAAAGATTTAGACTTATAATATATTATTTGTTGAAAGCTGTTTTTGCTGTACTTCTTTTCAAAAATTCAGCTTGCTTTTCCGGCTCTATTTTTTTGATACTGTCTCTAATCCATTTTGCATATTCTTTCATTTCTCTGTTGAAACAATGACGGGAGAAACAGTGACAGCAAAGTGTTTGCAAATCTGTATGCATTTAAGTAGCAGAACTAAGATAATAATGAAAAAAACAGGACATGATTGAAGTGAGGCAACAGTAGCAAAAGCGACCAAAACAGTGAACGTTTATAATGTCTATTCTAAGGTTTTAGTTTGAAGTGGAATTGGTGTCTTTCCTTTCTTTCGCGATTGTGAAGGTTTCTTCTTGGTTATGGAGAAGAAAAAACAGGCGCTAAGTGAAACAGCGCTGGGCTGACTTCAATTGTTGATTTTCAGGTCGCATTAAAGTTTGCAACATTTTTGTTCATTATGTTACAAGTTGTGAGGAATTAGCAACTGACCAGATAAAATTTTTTACGATTACTTCTAGTTACTTTTTTCTTGCCTAGTTTATTCAGAGACTCTAAAAATAAGACCTTGCCATAGTTAAGATGTTGTCAAATATTGTCGGTAACTTGGTTCTTCTACGCTGCCTGCTGCTTTGTCGTATTAGAGCTGATGGCCAAAGCAGAAGCCACCAAAGCAGAGTAAGAATAGAAAAAAATAGTGTTATCCAATTTTAAAAAGATGAAAAAACAGAAAAAACATCTTTTTTTTTTTTTAGAAAATATCATATTGCTAGTGTTTCATGCCTCTGGTTTTTATTCGCTTATCTGAATGTGAAATATCCGAAAAAGAATTCCTCATTTTAACGCACAAACGAACAGAAATAATTCAATTTTCTAGCACAATAAATACATACCAGCTAAATCTATCCGTAGTAGTTTGCTGTTTTTTGATAAAGTCTTCTTCAATTACATATCTTTTTCTTTCTTCTCTTCTTTGTCATCTTCTTCGCCTTTCACTGTTGTTACGGTTTGGTGTCAGTGCTGTTCAGATCATTAGTTTCCAAAAGTCGTAATACTTTGTACCTTGTCTCGGTTGTTCTTTTTTTTCTCTTTTTTTTTTTCATCTATGTTTTGTGTATAAACGAATTTTAAAACCATTGTTAGTTTGCTAATTCAACATTCATTCGTGTTGTCAAGAGAGCTGAAATACTAACTTTCTTATTTATCACACTGAAACTGTTGAGAAATCATTGTTTTAAAACATCTTGGCAATGGAACTATGGTTGAAAAAGCAGACAGGCAAAAACACATTTTCTTTAA